GGGGGGGGGGGGGGAGCCGCGCGCCCTCCCCTTCGGAAGGGTTAATTCTGCAGCCCGGTGCCCCCTCCCCCCCGTGGGGCAGGTTGGGGGTGGGGTGGGGCGGGTGTGAGCCCGGGCCCGCGCTGCAAGCTGCCGGGAGGGCGATGGCGTAGGAGCCAGGCGGAGAGGGGGAGGGGTGGGCCGCCCGGCGCCCCAGAGTTGGGGTGTGCGGGGTGCGCGGGGCGAACAGGGGCCCCGGAGCCGCCGTGCCGTCGGGGCAGGGTCGTGGCCGTGAGTGCTGGGAATTGTGTGTCTCCCGCCGTGTTGTGGGGCAAGGTAAACCTCTCTCGGGCACCACTGTTTGCTGGTCTGGCAGCCAGGGGTCCGGGTCCGGCCCTCCGTGGGCCAGGGGGACAGAAAGCCTGATGGAGGGGCGTCCGAAGGTGTGGGGCACGATTACAAGATGTGGCCCAGTGGCTTTGGGTGACAGGTCCACGTTGGGGAGTGGGGCAGGCATACATGCGGACTTGGTCAGATGTGTGGTTTTATGTAGGGCTTAGACCCGCGTGTGTTTTCGCGCACGTATGTGCCTTCTGCTGCACGCATGAACTATTTCTGAACTGTTGTTTTCTGCATCGCTGTCGTGGTGAGTGTGTGGGCTCGCGGAGGGCACCGGGGTGCAGCGAGCGTGCGCCCCTTTGGAGGGGGCCGCCGCGGACCTTCGAGTCCGAAGGTGTCACGACCGGGTCTCCTTTCTGTGGCCCTGCTGAGGTGTGGCCGCAGTCGGCGAGGTCACCCCCCTCCCCGCCACCCCCAGGTTGGGTTTGCGTGTCTGTGTGTGGAGGGCATTGCGCGAGGAGCGCAGGTCTAGAACTGAAGTCCTAGGGGCTGTAGGGCGGCGGGCACCCGCGCGCGAGGGGCTGGGGTGGGGGGGAGCATGGAAAGTGCGGGTTGTGTTTATGGGATCGTGCGCAGCCGAGCGAGGGGAAGGCTGCGTGTTTGTAACGTTCTCTGTGGGATTCTTTTGTGACGTCGTTTGTGGGAGCCCGTCCGTGCTGTTGGACCGGGAGGCGATCTGGTCAGAAAACACTTGTGGGGAGGGAGGTGGCGTGACCAGGGCAGTGTGGGCCTCAGGCTGGAGAGCTCAGCCGCCAGCCTTGTGTGCGAGCCTGCCTTGCACGCTGGAGTGGCCGCGGGAGGCTGCTGGGGGGTCCTGGAGGAGGAAGGCCGGGCGGACATTTGGGGCAGAGCAAGGGCAGGCCTGGGGGTTGTCGGGGGGCCCAGCTGGTCTCTCGGGGGGGGGGATCTGAGCGCTCGCCCCCTCATCGGCCCCCCCTGGCAGGTCAGGGTCACCGGGAGGAGAGGCCTCTGGGACAGAGTGCCTCCTTGGCTGTGTTTACGTAAAGGCCGGGTGTGACTCTTGTCACTGAAAGGAAAAAGCAACAGCAAGTTTGCAGTCCCCTCCTCCTGCTTCGCCCTCTCTCTGCCCCCCTTGCCGGTATCTCTGATTTTCCTGCTCTTGTGTGACGCACGCTGGGCCGCTCCCGCCACGCCACCGTGGAGGGGTCTGGGAATGGAATTCGCCAGAGAGGCCGATTGCTCAGGTTTTCCTCACCTTTGGCGCCCAGGCCCTTCTGTAGATGTGCGTGTGTGTGTGTGTGTGTGTGCAGGGGTGAGTGGGGTGCGTGCTGCGCCTGGCCTGGCCGTGGGGAAGGGTGGCTGTGCAGGGGTGAGTGGGGGGTGCCTGCTGCGCCTGGCCTGGCCGTGGGGAAGGGTGGCTGTGCAGGGGTGGGTGGGGAGGGCACCACGGCGGGGGCCCTCTCTCTTGTTCGATGGGAGCGGGAAGGTGCTGTGTGCTGCGTGAGGCCTAAACAACAGGTGCACGGTGGCCTGGCGGAGGGGAAGGAGGCCTGCGCTGGCCGCGAGCAGTGCTGGCGCTGCCTCGACCTCACCGGGACTTGTCGTGGGCGAGCCTCGGGTCCTCATCTGTAAAATGGGGCTAATCACCTGCCCCGCCTGTCTCCCAACAGCGGCGTAAGTGGCACATGGGAAATGTCGCTGGTAAGTAGCTGGGGGCTGGGGGCTACGCCTGTGCCAGCCGCTGCGGGGCCCTTCTCGGGCCCTGGCTAATAACAATAGTAGTAAACTCTTATTTGGCGCTTACTGCGTACAGATGCTGTTCTCTGTGTGTTTGCATCCGGTCATTCACTTACTCTCTGCAAACACCCCATGGAAGTAGGTGTCCTGATTCCCTCCCTTGTGCAGATGGGACAGCTGAGGCCCAGAGAAATTAAGTAATCTGCCCAAAGCCACTTAGCTGCGAAGAGGTAAAACTGGATTTGAACCCTGGCAGTCAGGTTCTGGATCCTGTGCTCTTAGACGCTGTTTTGTGCTGCCTTTCTGGAGCTTTCTGCGGGCTGCTCCGTGCACCCCACCTACACACACACACACACACACACACACACACACACGCACGCACGTTTCTCCCCAGTTTCTCCAGAATCTAGCACTGGTACCGGTTCGAGTCATGTCAGAAGACCAGTGTCCTTAGACAGTGACCCGGACAGTCCCGGCCTGGGGAGGGAGACCTTCATCTAACGCCTGCTGCCGGGTGCCGGCCTCGGGGGCACAGACTCTTGTTAAGCAAGCCGCAGGAGGGACCATCCTTGCCCTGTGGGGTCAGGGAGGGCCAAGAGGGAGGTGGCATGTGAGTTACCTCTGCGTGTTTTGGGGGGGCTTCGGGGAAGAGGTTGGGGAAGGTCGCGTTTCTCTCAGGAGGACAAAGGCAGGGGCCTGTGGGGTGCGTCACGGGGGGAGAGCGCCCTGGGTGCTTGAGGGGTGCCCAGCACAGAGCACGATTGGAAAGGAAGATTGGAATTGGACACTTGAGTGTCTGGCTCAGGAATCTGAACCTTATTCCCGGGTGAGTGGGGACCGGCAGAGGTTTCTGAGCCCAGGAGTGATCCTGCCCCAGCCGGCTGGGGACGCTGCTGGGGGACATGGACCCTCAGGGAGAGGAGGCCTGGAGGCAGCAGGAGCCTAACAGCCTTGGGCAACGCAAGTGTTAACCAGGGCCGAGCTTGCTCCCGGCGGCCAGAGGCGGGTTGAAGGGAAGGCCTCCAGAGCCATTCCCGACCCAGCCTGGTGACCCAGCCTGGTGACTGCTCGATGCGGGGGGAGCGGAGGAAAGGGCGGGGTCAGACGTGACACACTTAGCACTCAGCACGTGAGACCTTCTATGATTTCTGTACCCAGCTGGCCGGCCGTAAGGCCCCTTCGGGGCAGGATCCGGGGCCGTGGCACAGGGAAAAGATTTAGCGTCTGGGTTCCCACAAGCCCGGATTTGGATTCTGACTCTGGTGCTCACGAGCTGTGTGACCTTGACCAGGACGCGCCCCCCCCCCCGCCTCCATGCACCTCGGTTTCTTCATCTGTCAAACCGGGATAACATAAATACCGACTCTGGGTGGCTGTTTTGAGGAAGTCGCTCAGTGAGACAATCTGCGGAAGGCCCTGGACGTATATCAGGCAAAGCGTGA